GCTACCATGTCAGAGCCGGTCCACGCTCGTCGCTACAGTTTCAGAGATTGTATGACACCAAACGGACACCTCATTACTCCAGGACCCGCGGGTGAGGCAACGACGGTGGTAGCTGGGGCTGTGGTGTAGCGCCCCATTTGTTTCGGATTAATTATGAAATTATTTATTTATTTTTATTGTCCTTCGTGCTCGATTATTAATTCCTATGTGAGAGTCTTGACCAAGTTATTAGGGGGAGGTTACAAAGTTAAGGATCATTTAAGAAGAAAGGCTCCACTTTTCTCTCCCTCATTTATCTCCCTCCCCGTCTCTCTTTCTCGCTATCTCTCTCACTCTCTTCTCTAAATTTTCAGAGCTTTCCTCTCTCTTTTCTCTCATTGTTCGCTGGAGTTAAATCGCCCCAAGCCTCAAAAAAATTATTCGCAGCGTGCCCTCCGCCACCGCACGCGATCGTCGAGGGCCCCCGCGACTGTTGTACATTTGAGCTCTCTCCGTTGCACGTCCGTTCCGCGATCAACGAGCCATCGAGAGACATCATCTTCACCGTGTGAGCCGCCGTTAGACGCCGAGCGAGCCAAGCGGATGAGTTCCCCGCCCGTGCGACCGATACCCGCGCCGTGACGTTACCTTGTTCGCTTTCGCCCCTTGGTGTTTGGTATTTCATTAAACTCCATGTATATTATGTGTTTTATATGTTCTTTTGCTGATCATATAATATTATATGGTTTATTTGATTTAAAATGTTAAGATATGGTATTATATATATTTTTAAATTATTAGATCTACAAGGTTTAATGTGAAACCCTTATGATCTGATTTGAACTCGTGGAGTTCTCATGGATTTTGGAACATATTTGTGTCCTTTTGATGCTGGTCTTGACCTTGTGTCTTTTGGGGTTGTAAATCTATAGTTATGAATTTTTGAAATATATGTGCCTGCTGTGATTTGTATAATTCGTGATAATTTGAATTGTTGTCCAAAAATTCTGAAATTTGGATATGTTGTTTCCCTGATATA